TAAAATCTTAAACTCTACAACTCAACTGTATTTATAGAGCACTTTCTACAAAGCAAAACTTTCCTTATTCTGTTTGTTTCTAACTAAAATACATGACCTGGCTTTAAGGTGCTGATATAGTGCAGTAATAGTTTGATCAATTTGTGCTGGCAAATGAAGGAGATGGAAAGGAATGACATTTAGAAGAAGAGAAGAAGTCAAGCTTCAGGAAGCGATGGTCCACTTACGTTCCTGTTCGTTAATTTTCTTTTCCTGCTCAATCTCTAAAAAACAAAAAACAAAAACGTCAAACAGAAGAGAAACAGAAACAAAGAACTGATGATAAAATACAGACAGGGGGTGGAGGGAAGTTATACGATCCAATCCATCCCCAAAGGAGCATTTCCCACATTTTGTGTTACAACTTAATTTGAAAAGTGATTGAATATTTTTATCTACAAAACCACAAAGAAAATTTGTTCCCATTTAGATTTTTGCAAATTTATGAACAAATCCAAAACTAAGAAATCACATGAACATAAGTATTGTCAGCCTCTGTCATGAAACTCATACTTGAGGTCAGGTGCATCATGTTTGCGTAGCTTTTTTTTTTTTTTTTTTTAATGGGGTGGGGGCGGTACGAATTTAGCCCCGAAATAATGTTGAGTGGTTTAGCTGTGCACTGATTATAGACACAGTCATGGATTAATCCCTGTTTCAAAGCATGCTCAAATTCTTCTTTTCTCACACACACTCACAGACAATAATGTGAGAACGCTTGTGCCAACACCTGCAGGCTCCAGTTGTATGGGGTGTTTTTCTTTTTTTATTTTATTTATTTTTTTTTAGCATTGTGGCATTAACATGGAAATCAAAGGCCCGGAAGCCGGATTAGTCACTTTTTAGGTGTGAGGTGCAGGTCAGGTCGGCTCAAATGACGCAATGAAACACAAAGTGTTCCTCAATTGTTTCATTAATGCAAAACCACAACAAAAAAGCCAAAAGCAGAATGTGATTGATTTTACAGAACGGTGTTCGAGCGGTTTGCACACCTGCTTCACATGTATGAAGGTCTGGGTTCGAAATCTCAGGTCCAGGCTTTCTGTGCGGAGTTTGCATGGTCTCCCTGGGCTTTGTGAATTTTCAGTAGAGGTCGCTGTGAAAAGTTAATTTAACTTACTCCCACACTCCAAAAGCAAGCATCTTAGACTTTAAATTGTCCATACAGTACGTGTGAAAATTGTCAACATCTGCCCCACAATTGGCTAACAACCAGTCTAAGGTATACACCAAATGCCAGTTGGGATCGGCGCCAGCTCAGCTGCAACACAAATGTGGACGAGCACAATAGAAAATGAATGAATGGATTGATAGATGGTTCACTTTTCCTCTTTGGCACCACCGTTGCAATTTGAGATGGGCACAACAATCATTGATTATTGGTAATTCTGTGAATTGTCTGCAGTTGTTTATCAATTGATGGCGTCTTGGAGAAATTGAGACAAAATGGCAGTGCACCAGCAAAGGTGTTGTCAATAAATAGTTGTGGTGAAGAACAGTGGTTCCCGACCTTTTTGCATCAAGGCCAACCTCAACAAATACTATCCAGGTACAGTACCACTGGAATGACCAAAGTTAAAATTAAATCAAAAATGGGGTGGGGGCGGGCAGGTGCGCGCATGGCATACCCTATTGCCAGCCATTCAAGTGTATATATGGTCTCGTAGACAAACAACCCGGCACACCTCCAGGTAATTTAGCTTCTTTATGAACACAATTTCTCAACAAAGCTGAGACATGGATTAGCAGAGGAGGATCAATGGATGAAACTGGCTACCCATTTAAATTGAGCAACTGGGATAGAAGGGCCTGAGTCAAGGAGGTAACCAAAAACACACTGGCAGATCTACAGCAATCCACCAAGAAGGCGTGTGTCGGATTGGCCAAATGGAAGCCACTCTTTAGTAAAAGGCACATTGCAGCCCAGCTATAGGCAACTGAGACAAAATTATCAGGTACTGATGAGACATAGATTGAATTCTTAATCAGTGTGAATGCCAGTTCCTAAATGATTGTAATTTAAAAGGGAAAAAAACCCCAAATCACTACAGTGAAGCATGGCGGTGGCAGCATCATAGTAGGGAGATGTTTTTCAGTGATTGGAACAAGTCAGTGAAAGATAAATTGAGAAAACATCTTGAATGAAAATCTGCACCAGAGCGCTCGTGACCCCAGACTGGGGGCCTGATTCATCTTGCAACAGGATCAGCTTCAGCACATTGCCATAAAATTGTTGTAAACTGGTATCAGGACAAATCTGCAAACATTCTTGAGTAGCCCTGCTTTGTTTGAGTTCTGTTTTATCTATGGTGTATTTGTCAAGTAAAGGATATGTTTTAAAAAATGTGAAAAAGCTAACTACCATTCCCCAACAAGTGCATTGAGAAAAGGCTGTTTATACCAATGTCTACATGTGATCCCCCCCCCACCCCCATTTTAAATACAATTGCAACAAGCTCCACACCTTGCAGTTGTCTTGATGGGGTGTGGTATTTGGGGGATTTTTTTTTTTCAAATTCATTTTTTGGAATAAAGCCCTAAGATAACTAAATATGGAAAAATACTTTTCAGATGTTTGTGTATGCAGACTAACAGCTAAGTGTTGAACTAGAGGCATTTGCACTTATCCATAGCACACAGGAGACAACCCAGAGGTTCAAAATAAACATCCATCAAGAGTCAAATGATTAATATTGAAATGCGGGTCTGTATTATGTTCTTTTGAACCTACATGCAAATCAATTATCATTTTGAGTACAATGCAAGCTTTCATTCCGGCACTCACAGTGCACCTCATATTGAAAAGTCAACAGGAATTGGGCGTGTACGCACAGTTGGTGCTTGATCCAGTCTGCAGGTGCTACTAATTGTTTGGCAGCCAAGGGTGATCATTTCTAAATGGCCAATCATTGTCCTAAAAAGCCCACCTACCAGTTTGAGTTGGAAGTTTGCTCTTCTCTTCTGTTTCAGTCTTTCGCAGAGTAGTTTTATCAAACTGCTTCACTTCAGTTTTGACGTTTGCGTCGCACATTCTGCCAGCTTTTTCAAAGCAAAGTAAAGAATATCACACATTTCAAGTAATCGCTTGTATATTGTTCAACCATCGCTCACTAAACGCGTAATCTAATTGTGTGTTCGCCACAAAGGGTGTGGTCGACGCTTCATGCCCAAACAGGTACACAAGCCAATCCCATTAAAATGCCTGTGCTGAAGCGAACCCTGAAGTTACGTAACTCTCCCGGGGACAAGGAACAACACGCATTTCAGAACACGAACGCTAGCCTGTTGCCGTTCAAATACACTGCGTTATAGACGTTGACGTTTGCACGTTAAAAATCAGAAATGGAGATAAAACAGATGTAAAAAGTAAGACCAGTTTACATCAGGCATTAAACAAACAAAATAACTTCCGGTTTGAATTAAATTGTGCAGCTATGAGAATAACCACACAAAGTTGCACAACAACTTTCGATCCATATGCAGCTAAACATAGTCAATAATTTTACCTGCTCTAGAGTCGTGTCGCACTCAAGGTGTTCTGCAGGTAGGAAGAATATGCGGGAATCGAGTTAAGCAAACAGATTATTAACTAGCCGTAACACGCCCCAAAATCCTGTGCTGAGAAATCACACCTATGCCTTTGGCTCCTATTGGCTCCCAAACCTCACAGCAAACTTCAATTGGACGTGATGTAAATATTAAAGGCGGGCCCTTGGGCGATGGGTATGGCTTCCCATCCTGCATTGGAAAGCACAAATTCTTTGCTCCTGCCTGAACTTGCTAGTGAGGAGTGAACTCTCTGTGTACTGGCAGTGAACTCAGCGAGCTTCAAATGTTCCGAGGATCAAGATCTTGGTGATTATTTGGGATATAGTGCCACCTAGAGAACTAAATATGACATGGCACACATAAGTAAAACAGAAACCACTTTGTAAGAGCATGACAAAACATTAATGATTCTTTTATATAGAAAACAGAAGCCACCATTAAAAGCAACAAACAAAAATATTTTATAGCCCAAAAAGTTTTTAAAAAATAAAACACAAAACAACAACTGCACTCGTTTACCATTTCAAGTTGTTTTGGATATTATTCTGCATCCATTTACACACACACACACACACACACACACACACACACACACACACACACACACACACACACACACACACACACACACGCCATACCATAATTAAGGCTTTCATGAGTGTTGGGAATTTGATGAGTGATATAATTTAATGTACATTCAAATAATACAACTGTGTGTGGATTCACCCACTACTATTTTAATCAATTTTAACATCTGCATCACATCTATATCCGTAACGAGACACATTGAACATGAACCTGTCCCTTTTTTTGTCTCCTAAATAAAAACAGCATATCATCCAGTTGTTGTAATTCTTGAGTCATTTTACAAATGTACAGTAGAAATGCAAGGCACATGAGCATCACTAGCAAATATTTCTAGTGCAATAACTACTTGCCCAACCTGCAACGGTGAAGTAAACAAAGAAATAACAGTTATTTTTCTCACCATTTGCCTTCCTATTTTCCTTTTTTCTGATTCACGATTTACTGCTATATTAATGTAGCACATACATGATTCACAAAGTTAGGGATATGCAGCTTTCAGGTGAAATTTTAGGATGAACCTGAAGTGCACTTTCACCCTGACAGATTAATTCAATTTAAAAATCTTTAAAATGTTCAATGGACATGCCCATCTGTTCGACCTTCCCTGTTAATTTGCAACCCAGTCCTCTTCATCATGCTGTTCACATTGACATCATGAGACTAAGACAAAATCTGACAATTTATCAACAGCACTTGGCCATTGCAAAGTTTCAAAAAGGATGTTTTTAGATAAAGTGGCTACTTGGCTTAGAACATAGGTGTCAAACTCAGGTCCTGGAGGGTCACTGTCCTGCATGTTTTCCAAGTCTCCCTGTTCCAACACACCTGATTCAAATGATCAGATCATCAGCAAGCTCTGCAGAAGCCTTATAACAATCCTGATCATTTAAATGAAGTGATGGAGAAGGGAGACATATAACACATGCAGGATAGGGGCCGTAGAGCAGTCATTCCCAACCGTGATTGAACCAAAGCGCATTTTTTTAAAGTAAAAAAAAAAAAAAAAAAAAAAATGCACGGCACACTACCAAACAAAATTGTCCCAAAAAGAGGATACATATGTCATTTTCCTACTTATTGCCATCTAATAGAAGATAATTGATCTGTTCTTTCTGACACTATAAATTCTGGCATCGATAGAGGGACAAAGATACATTATTTGTTATTCATAAATAATTTTCTCACCAATAAATTTGAAGTTACCACGGCACATTGTTAGAGCTCTCATGGCACACTAATGTGCCACAGCACACTGTTTGGGAATCACTGCCTTAGAGGACTGGAGTTGGTGAACTCTGTTCTATGTATATTAGCTATACCCTTGTTTGAATGTCAAATTTATTGGATTTTCTGTCACAGGGTGATTGAAATGACAATTTACCTCTTTGACTTTAGTCAATTATTGAAGTTTGGATAAATCCAGAAACTGTGGAGTGGGATATATTGAATTTCTGTTATATTTATAGTAACATCTGCTCAGCCTGAGCTTTTTTGCTGCCTGTCATAGATGGCTGTGGTGATTCCCCAGGTGATACACGATCTCAGAATAACCAGAGCACCACCTCGATACAGTAACAGGACACTCCTCTGCCTTGAGTTCCACAGCATCCTCCAGCAGGCCATCACCCCTTTCACCTCTGTCTGCACTTCCACCTGCATGTTGGCCACGAGCACAGACAGCGGGTACAGGCTGAGGCTGATTGCCATGGAAGCCACAGTCCCAGAAATGAAAGAAGACACCAATGGAGAAAGCCCCTGTCCAGCTACAGCAGCACTCAAGGGCCCCTTCAAACCAAAGTAAAGGGAGCTGCCTAGGGCATTGCGAGCCGTGACGGGCAGGAAGGCCCGGTAGTAGCCAGAGGACAGCTTTTGCGCCTTTAGCTTAACAAGAACACTCTTTAAAGTTGGGAGCTGGCGGTCATTGTGGCCACTCTGCAACACATTTTGAACACGCTCAAACGGTGTAAATACCAGTGCCTCCACCATTCCCACACCGAGGCCCGCTACACCAGGATGCAGAGAGGAGGGGATGATGCTGAGGGAGGGCAAGGAGAGCAGGCGGAGGAAGGTGTCCTGCAGTCCAAAGAGCAGTGTGCCACTAAGTGTCCTCATCACTAATGGTGGGGTCACCCCCCTGTAGAGCTTCACAAGGCCTTCTTTGTGGAGCTGTTTTACGGCCCGGTGAACCTGGATGTTGTGGATTTGTTGGCGGAAAACAGTCTTGTAAACCGGGAAGACAATAAGCGTGGACAACAAGCTTGATGTCCCACCATGGAGGTAGCTGTGGAAACGTGTCATTGAGTCCCTCAGGCGTTCTTTATCTTGTGCAGGCTTGGAACTTCCTGCCATCCTTCAGCTGAAAAATGACATCACAAATTAATTTCAACTGCCTCACCCTGACAGCTATACTAATATACGAAAATGTCATTCAAAAAATGTCAATAAACTTTCAAACCGAACCATAAAATTGAAGCGAAAATTGTACCTACTCTTCTAAATGTGGTGATCCAACAAACACGGAGCATATAAACCACAATAGCAGCACCATTGACTTCTCTACTTCAACTTGAAAAATGCGAGAAAACACGGAAATTAATTAGCATGCTTCACATGGTGAAAGCATGTTCGATTTTAGCCCACAGTAAGTTATTTTATTCAGAGTGGTCACCGTTCTTCAGGACTAGATACCAGTAGGCGCGTACACATAACAGGATCCGGTGCGCTTAGCAATTATGGTCCCGCCCTCTTTAGAATAACCATAGGTCGAGAGCCATACGTCATGTCGTCAGGGATTGGCCGATTATTTCTGTCAATCAAAGATGGACCATGGGCGTTTCAGATTTGAGGATACACGACCCACGAAACAAAACCATGTTTTCCGATGATTCGAGGACTTTGTCTACACGCGTGGATGCTTTCCTCGAGGGTTGTTTTCACAATACAGTACATTGCAATAAAGTACATCCAAACAATTGCTGATTATATTCGTGTCAGTAGTTGACAAACATTTCTTTACAGTAATTGAAGAGGTTTAATCAAAACGTACACAAATGAGGACACTCTACAAATACAAATAGTCATTATCGTTTTTATTTAAAATGTAACCAAACATGTGGACACGAATGCAGTAACCCAGACAAATATTGTCATTGAGAATAGGACATGGGGGGTAAAGAAAATCTTCCAAATGGACGGTATTTGGGGTACAATCATCAATGCAGTAAAATGAATACCTATATTTACTATGGAAAAGCAAAACAAAAAATGGGCACATTGAACAAACTCAGATGATTATGTTGGTTTTTAGTCCATTTGGCACATGTCTGTGCTTTATAAATGCTCGGAAAAAAGAAAAAAAAATATTCCATGCAGCTTTATTAAAAACCTTCTTGAATACATGGCACCAACACAAAATGTAAATGGTAGAGTTTGGAATTAAAATATAAAATCTCTCCAAAATAAAAAGCGAGAAAAAACAGGAGCACTGACTGTCCAGGTGCAACTCCATAAATTAGAATGCCATTGAAAATTATTTTTGTAGTTCAACTCAGAAAGTCAAATCCATAATTAAACTATATCCACATCGATTTAGCACATTGCAAAAGGCCATCTGATGCCTGTATTCAATATCATTTAGATTGTTTGGTGTAATAACCTGCGACTTGCTGGCAACCAGTTCAGGGAGTACACTGCTAACTGCCCGAAAACAGCCGCGATAGGCTCCAGCATGCACCCTTGTGAGGATACGCGCATTAGTAAATGGATGGACGGTTTTCAGTCACGGTAAAATATCATACTAAAAAGGGAAACAAAAAATTCATTGCCTTTAATCTACGAGTTTCCCTTTTTGAATTGAACTACTGAATAATCACATTTGCATTGAGATGCACCTGTCTGTGTACCATTTCTACCTGCAGAGTAACATCTTCAAAATGTGACCTCGTTGGCCAACCCCTCAAATGGTGTACCTGAAAAGTTGAAGAAAAAAAAAAAAACACCACAAATGGTGCCTTGAAAGAGAATTTCTACTCCTTGAGGTTTTTCACATTTTGCCATGTTACAACCAGAAAATTACACTTGATGGTCTTCTCTGGTCAAACGGTTTCATTCAAGCTCAATAAATATGGTCTACTTGGTGCATACATAGGATGTGTGTAACAGACATGATAGTTCTTTCCATCCCCAGTCAAAGGGAACTTCTCTATTGGTTGTGTTTGGGGCGTATGCCTCTTTTTTTTATATTGGCCTAACAGTAGACACCGTTACAAGGGCACGTGGCTGAATAGGTACGACACAGACTCGCCATTGTGGGTTCTCCGAATGGCTTCCGCGAGGATCATGGAGATGTCGATAACCTGGAAGATGACAACATTGAATATTTTTAGTAGGATACTTTTTTTGAGATAGGTGTGATAATGGATAATCAACAATGTCAGCCGGGGCGGGCTGCAGCTCACCTGTGACTCTAATGAGGACAAAAGCACTACAGAACATGGATGAATAAAAATCTACGCTTGGATTTGTACTTTTTTTTTTTTTAAAGAAACTCATCGATACATGATCAGTTAGTTTGGCTATGCTGTTGGAAATTATTCCTCCGACAGTGGGCACGACAGAAAAAAATTGGACAAACACCGCACTTAAGACAGACACCGGCTTACCTGTATTTTGGGACAATGCCTCATTTTCTCCTCCTGGGGTATTGTGTTCGTGACCACAACTGCTTCGAAGCAGGCATTATTGATGCGAGAGATTGCAGGTCCAGAGAAGATGCCGTGCGTCAGGATGGCGTATACTTTGGTGGCACCGGCAGAAATCAGCCTAAAACGACATAGAAGACATTGAGCCTTGATTGGACTTGAATGAATGAATTAATGTAGTTCATTTCAGAAAAGAGTGACTGACGTCAGATTTGGCCTCTAATTTTTGCATCAAAGGGATGAAATACACACGCATGGATGTATCACTCATTCATATAATAAAAGACAGATGAATCAATTATTGAAAGAATTCCTTAGCTGTAGCCCGAAATGCTCATATCTTTTATAACTACTAATGCCGTAGTCAGTCTACACATGCAATGAATTATATTACTAGTGTTGACAAAGATGGTACTAGAAATGGACCTGAAGCTCACTGACAAGGAACTTTGATAAATGCTCAAGCAGCTTTCAATAGGTGGTCAGAGCCTGAGATGAACTGTATCACGATCACCATCCAGGAGGCTTACTTGTCGGCAGCATGGCAAATGGTCCCACAGGTGTCGGCCATGTCATCTACAAGGATGGCGACTCGAGCCGTCACGTCACCGACAAGAACCATGCGGTCAACCTCGTTTGCCTTTTTCCGCTCTTTATGAATGAGAGCAAAGTCCACATTTAACCGGTCAGCGATGGAGGTGACCCTGCAAAGAGAATGGAAAGCAGCCGAGTTGCAGCTAGAGAGCAGAGAAGATATTTGGCCATCTCAGCCAAAGTTTTCACTTAGGTAGAAATTACAGAGGCTAAATGACAAGACTGAAATGCCAAAGGCCTCAGTTCACCTCTTTGCTCCTCCAGCATCTGGTGACACAATGGTACAGTTCTTCCACTCAGGTATGTTTTCTTTAATCCACTTTAACACGGCAGGCTCCGCATAGAGGTTGTCAACGGGGATGTCAAAGAATCCCTGAAAGACAAGGGCAGTTCATCATCATACTGGAAATGAAGAGGTCCGGTTACACTGATGTCGATGCGAGGAGGCACTCATAACAGGAAGTCTGCATTGTGCTCAAGCATGGTTGAAACCAAAAGTCTGGATTGTATGTTGAGTGTGAGGGTGTCCAAACCGGATGATTTGGAATCGACAGCCCGTACCCGACTACAGGCTGTTGACGATCAAAATCCTCCACTCCCAAGTGTTTGAAGGCCATAACTGGCCCAGAGTGAATGTGCCCTAATGGAGCTAGGTATCTCACCACCAAGACAGTAATTCCAGCTGTATTCGGAAGCGACTAAACTGAGAAGAACGAATACACTTGCTGGCATGAGCCCGGAAAAGATCCAAACCCTTAATGTGGTGTTCAAACGTTCACCTGTATTTGCGAGGCGTGCAGGTCCATCGTGATGATGTGGTCAGCGCCTGACACGGACAGCATGTTGGCCACCAACTTGGCAGAGATGGGAGCGCGGCTCTGCAATGAAAACGGATCTGTTTAGTCACAAGCAAAAAGATGAGTGCCAAGCATGACTTTAGGCCAAAAAATAGCACTGAACTGAGAACTGCATCTCTTCACATTTCCACTTCCGAATAATATGAAGCATTTGTGATGTATCAATTTAATAATCTGGATGAAAAAAAAATACATTTAAACCACAACTACGACATCAGTTCGGTGCAAAAATTAAGTGCATGTCAAATATGAGCAATCACAGCTGGTAAAGTGAGAGAACCAGTGGGTGCTCCCCCCCCAAAAAAGGACATGAATATCAATATCTGAGTGGTTACATGTCCTAAGAAAACTAAATTAAAAAGACTTGCACTATATCTGTCACAATTCAAACAGATATATTTTATAACCAATTTCTCAAAGCTTAACAAATGCTCAATATTCCTGCCACTTTGATTTTTTTGTGCCATGTTCAAATCTGCTTTCCAGTTAGAGTATTTTTATAGTTTCCTCAAAAATGCACACTGCACGACTTTTGTTTTAGCAAATTCCAACCAGGGTTAAATGGTTCTGGATTTTTCATTACACTTAAATTCAGTTAGCTTTATATTTTATATTCATATTTTATCCAAACGGCCTATTTGTACAGTGCAAGATTAAAAAAAAAAAGTCTTGTGCAGAAAGTAAACGACAACTCGTACACAACTGCTGGCTTAACAGTGGTACCTTCTGCAGACTCAAAATAAAAAAACGGACGGTCATGTATGAAATTAATACAAAAACAAAGGACATCTTTGCTATACTTACTATTAGTCTTATAAAGGTAATTTAGGTTTTCTAAATAGCGATTTTTTTTCTTCATGTTTTAGCGATTCGTTTTTTGTTAACTATAATTAACTTGATTTCAACACAGGGTACATATTTTCAAAATGTATTTTCTGTGCTCTGGAATGTCATGTTTCACCCTCAAAATAAAAAGAAAGAAAATATTGAAATAACATGTTCTTTTCTTCACATCTCATTAAATTTTAATTTGTGTGATAATTGGCTGGATCTGACTACAACATGCTACATTTTTGGGGGGGGGGTACACCCTGTGAAAAGCTCATGTTATTTATTGTACACAACATATGATATAACAGATCTTTAAACATGAAAGTTTCACAATCACAAGCAATGGGTTGTGCAATATGAAAGAGGCTTGCAACCAAAGCAGGGGAGAGAGAAGATAGCAACAAAAAATCCAAACAAACCGAAAAGCAGCATTGAGTGCATGGACATGGCCAGCGGGTTCTTGTCATGACGTCGGATGGCAAACAGCATGACGGAGAAAATTAGACAGATGTCCCTCACCCCCACCTTGTCCTTCTTGTCCTGGCGGGCGTAAGGAAAGCAAGGGATGACGGCAGTCACTCTGGAGGCAGATGCAATCTTGCAGGCGTTGATCATGATGAGTAGCTCCATCAAGTTGTCGTTGATCTCCCCGCAGCCACTCTGGACGATGTAGACATCTTCACCTCGTACACTCTCGCCTATCTCCACGCTGTGGCAGGAGGGGGGGAATTCACAGAGGTGACAAGACAAACATCACTTAGCAGCAGAGAGCTAAGCAAACACACAGTAGCAGGAGGCAGAATAAACAATAGGTAGGCGTCACATTTGCTGAGACAAACCGTGGAGGGTCCACTTGTTCTTACTGGAAAACTACTTGAGCAGTTATTTGATATCAAGCTTAATAAGCAAATAGACTCTTTGTCCTCACTAGTTACACAATGCAGCGGACTGGTAAAAATGAGTATTTATGACTAGTTCGGGATTTTTTT